CCCCCCCCCCCCCCCCCCCCTCTCTGTCGGATGGATGACGACTGGGCAGTCTCGAAGCGCGGAGTGCGGCATCTGCCTCGGAAAGGTGCGGAAGCTTGGGAAGGTGAAGGACAGGGTCTTCGGCATCCTCGTGAGCTGCAAACATATCTACTGCCTCGGCTGCATTCAGGAGTGGCGAGACAAGGTACACAGCAGTTTTGTTCGCCTACCCTCGTCCCGTTCTGGCTCTCAATCCACGTCCGTGAGCAGGGGTGTACCCTTGTCGGAGGAAAATAAATGATTATGCTGCTTTAAGGGAACCGATGATTGTGTTGGGCACGTGTGTTGTCTCAGTCAGTTGTGCATCAGGGCGTGGCTGATACTGGTTTTGTTGTTTCAATTCCTTTACGCTACTATACAGCAGTACAACATGTACACAAACGTTTGCGAAGTGCACTTTTTACGAGTCAATCGATTCTGCCGACCAGTCGTTTTGTCCGACTGGGTTACATCATGTTGCACGGAAATGATGTGCTCGTTGTTCTTAGCTATAGACTCCATAGAGCAGCGGCGATCATCTTACACATCGTGATAGCATGTACACGTACTTCTACGGCGTTTTTTTTCTACCCGATCGATCCCTCCCTCCACGGCGCCCTACTCGTTGGTGCCCCGACAGGCTGGAATTGAGACGGGTCTTTACGCGATTCTCGCCCTGAGTGTTGTTGAGCGATCGGAGTTTTTGTACCAGCCTCACCCGGCCCGGGACGATGTTCCTTGCTCGGCATATTTTTACGTTGTGCAGGGCGGGGGTGCTTGACAGCCAAACACCGCATGGCATGACATGGCATGTCAATGTATGGCACGTGTACCGCCCTCAAGGGTAGCGCTACGGGCGGTATTCGCGTTCCGACGCGGCGAGTACATCGACATAATCATTCATCACTCACTCACTCACTCACTCACTCTCCTATCTGTTTTTTGCCTTTTGTGGTCGTGTTTTCGTCTTTTTTTTTTCTTTCTATGCGTCACTCGGGCCGCCTTCCTCCGCCGTTTTGTCCAGAGCAACAACCACGCGTGCCCGGAGTGCGGCCTTTCCTCGTCGCTCGCGCTTCCGAGCAAGACTTTCGTGACGGACCTCGATAGAAAGAAACGCCTGGCGTTGGAACTCCGTCAGTCTCCTAGGGGCACGCCTTCCGGCCGCCGTCTCTAATTAGCACCCCGATCATTTCCAACGGGTGAGGTTTCGGCGAGTGGCGGCTTTTTCCGTCCGTACCACCGCTATTATTGTCGTTGTTGTGCCAAGCGTAAAGGGGATCCCGAGAAATCATGACGCTTCTCGCGGTGGTTGCGCGTCCCACGCCGTCGCCATCTGCAAGTGTGGTGGGTCTCATGCAAGGCCAGTCTTGCGTGAGGGAGTGATTGCGTGGCTCCGCTCGGTTGCAAAACGTTGCTGAATCAGTTCGTTCACGGCCGTCCTGACGTGATTTTCGCGTGGTGCCCTCGCACACCGCCGTTCTACTGCGTGTGCTCGAGTTTATTCTAAGATGTGTCGAATGCGAGTTGTTTACCAGGGTCCCAAGCTTTACCAGTTTATAACACCCACCTTTGTTGGTACTCGTTGTTGTTTTGATGTTGGCGACGGGAGGCAGTTTGCAGTTTTTTCCCAGAGCCTATACTTCTTGTCGTTCCCATGCATAGGGTTTGTGCTTTTTGGCGGGTAACGGGTAAGAGTGCGACCGATACTAGGCAGAAGTCCCGAGGTGAAATCGACTCTTGGTTTGGGCATCTCGCCGGCTTCGAACGAGTCGCCGGCTTCGAAGGTGGCGGCTTGGAGGACAATTTTTTGAGAAGCGGATAGTATCACCTGCCCCCCTTGCCGCTGCCCTCCCTCACGTTGTTGTTGTTGTTGTTGTTGCCCACAGGGGTCCCCCTGGCTCTTCGGGGCGCTCGACGATTATCGCGCGTTGACGGGATGCCCCTGCATCCTCCCAGATTGCTTTTTGGCGCCTGGCAGCTTGACCGGGTGGCATGCGCACCTACTACTAGAGAGTACCAGTACTCGAGTGTGTCCGTCCATATGACACTACTCAGGAAAACGATATACAGCAAATTTCACGTGCAAGATTTTGGTTTTGCTCACACCTACGCGCTAGCTGTGAGCCCCCCCCCCCCCCCCCCCCCCCCCCCNCCGCGTCCCCCCCCCCCCCCCCCCCCCCCCCCGGCCGTGTCATTCATGTCTTTCGCTCTTCAGTGAGAGTTAGAGCAGTGCAAGCGTTTTGCACTGCGGTGCGTACTTCAGTTGTTCCCAAGCGCTTGACTACGGAGGTTAAGCTTCGTCACAGAGGGGGCTTAGGAGTGCCAAGCCTAACTTGATATATTGTGGGTCGTTCTTCCTTGACCCAGCCTTTGAAAGGTGGTTGATGATTAGGAAATCCCTTTCACCCCCCCCCCCCCACACACACACGGGGCAGCTCGTTGCTCGCGCACGCGCACCGCTGAGCAACGAGTTTGAGGAGACAGCTCTCTGCGTCCCCTTTTGTAGTGTTCCTGGGATCTCGAATGGTCTGTGTGCATTTTTTTTTGTTTGCAACAGCGGGATTCGCGGCGAGGCACTGCTCAGCACTACTCTTGCTGTAGTTAAATGAGCTGCTGCTGCCTTGGACGTAACCTAGGTGTTGANGGGGGGGGGGGGGGGGGGGGGGGGGGGGGGGGGGGGGGGGGGGGGGGGGGGGGGGGTTCGGAAACAAATTTTGTTCATTGACGCGACAAGTCTATGAGTGGGGGCTGGAGATGCTTGTCAGTTCCCTCTTTCGTGTTGATCTGCATAGAAGGCTCGTAAAAACGTGGTATGTACGTAGCCCTGTACTTTCACGATTGGGTGTGATCGTCGAGTGCAATTGTTGCACCCCAACCGACCCAAAATAACTTACTTCCTGTTTTGGTATGTGGTTCGGAACTGGACCATTTAACTTACACGGGATGGTACACAATGGGTGTGCTCAACCACACACGGATCGTAGGTGGTTCATGAGTGTTTCTAAGCGTTAATCACAAACGGAGAGAGCCTGTGTTTTGTCGGGAGAGTTTTATGGTAGTTGGTGGTTGGTGTTCATCCATGTCTAGGCTTGTGCTCGGTGTTGGTGTGTGGTTCAGGGCAGAAACTCGAGGAATAGTCTAGCACGCGGCCAACGTTGAGTGTAACCTCGAGCGTGGTAATTTCGCTATGGTGTTGCCGTGGGTGTGCATGGGGTGGTGCTGTCGAAGCGCTCGAGCTACGGAAGTAGACTACTTAGTGGGTGCAGGGGAGCTAGGGGTAAAGCTGGGCTGGCTGCTGTGGAGATGTGTTGCGTTAGTGCCGGGGGGAGAAAGAAGATCGTTTTTGTCAGCCTCGGTTGAAAATCTCCGCGACGGTTTTCCCTGTGTAGGAACATTTGCTGCGTGCAAGCTTGAAGGTGTTGGATTATTTTAGCGACCAATGATACATACAATCCAAAGCCACTCGAGTCCGAGAAAAAAAGTCTACACTCCGGCCTTCATAAGCATCAACTGGGAGCAACTACTGCTGTTGGTGGTGTTCGTGGCTAGCTGAACATGCACGACTAGACTACTCTGCAAAACGGTCAAATCATGTCGTCCATGCAAGACGTCGGGTTTCCTACCCAGCAGGATTCAAACAATGGGATGGCGTAATCTCTCCAGCTAGCACAGCAGAGAAGGATGAGAGGAGCCCCATCAACCACACCTTCCTACTACAAAGTTCCAGGTTGGACGTGGACGACTGGAGAAGAACCACAGCTCCAGGTTGTTATTGCGGCGGTGGGACCATCGATGACCGCCTCGTGCAGTTTGTTCCGGCGGTTACGGGGTCATGATTGACTGTAGGGAGATCATTGGCATCGGGAACTTTCTCAGTTCTGCTGCGGAGGAGGGAGAAAGAGAGCTGCAACATGCGCCAGTTTGTCCGTTCGTCGAGCAGGCTCATGAATGAAGAAGCGATCCAGTTTGGAAAAAAATCGTAGATTTAGTCTGCAGTTTAGCACTCAGCAGATTGGATATCCAGGTTGTAGTTCCCACCGAGCGCACACGATTCAAACCGAAACCTTCACCCTAACGCTGACCCTGGCCCACAAGATCGGCCAAACTAGGGCCCCGGGAGGCGTCAACGTCAACAGCAGTGGGGTCGAGCTGGTGGGGTCGGTGGATTTTTTCCGCAGCGGGGGGTCTCAAAAGGTTCCGAAGGCATGTCTCACATGCGGGGAAAAAAAAAAGATGATATAAGCGGAAGTCTGTCCCCGGCTGGCCATTGGGTGTAGATGTAAGACCACGTACGGCGGCACAGCAGTACAGCAGCACCAAGCGTGGGGAATCATGGTAGGCTCGGCGGCAGGGTCGGGGCCTGGGGAGCTGCCTGTCGGCATGTGTTTCTACTCTTTCATGTTCGACGACCAGCATTTGCTTCCCGGGTACGTAAAGACGGGAAGGCTCCCCGCTCCCTCGTCGCTCTTGCTGGGCATGGCATTGGGCGTGGCCCTGACTGGCGCTAGGCTCGCTCTGGACATGATCGTGTTCAAGGTGAGAAGGCGTTGGAAAGTGAGACCCTCGGTCCCTGGTATGGTGTAGATTGGGACAGCTGAGCCTCGATTCCGGCATTGTGTTGGCGAGCTCATAACAACTAAGCTGTTCCGCGGGAGGTTTTCGGCAGAGGCATCAACTAACTGGCAGTTGGTGCTTGGTGGGGCAGGCGTACAACAGCAGTAGCGGCAGGGACGGGTAGGGTACATATAAGCTACTGCCGATCAAAGATTAAGATTCTCAACGGCTACAGCCAGTCTGTGTCAAGCAAGTGCCCGAGACTCCACCAACTAGTTTTCAAACGATACGCGTGCGGCGTAAGAGTTGGCTTGATTTGTGGCAAGCAAGCAATTTGGGAACCGCCAGCGAATCACCGAAAGGAAGAAAGGAATGGTTTAAGATGATTCGTTGATTCGTTGGGAAGTTTCAATTTTCGCCCCACCATTTACTTGGCGCACATGCACGCTCTTCTCGTAATTACAATCGCCACCCCGTGACTTGGCACAAATTAGGCGAACCGCACGCACCGAAGGCACCGAAGGCACGAAGGAAACTGTTTCGAACCTTCGGAAACTTGGTAAACTGGACTATGGCATCAAGTTTTTCGTCCCCCATCTGCGGGCATTCGCGCGCACGCTAGACACGCCTCTTGTTGACACATTCGTTCGTCATCCCTTGTGACTTGCGCCACAAACCTAAACCGTTTTTGAGAATACTGCCGTAAATTGCGACACGACGTTGTTGCCGTCTCTTCGTGGTTGCTGCTGGGTCATCGAAGTCATCTGGTTTTGGTTGTCTTCGTTTTTCGTACCACCGGTACTTCCGCTCTCAGGACTGGAGACAGAGATAGTCATCGCGGGGGGGGGGGGGGG